CCGTATGAAGACATAGACAAGCTCGACTAATTAGCCCCCGATGTCAATGAGTACATTCATTGTGCTGAGGAAGCACGGCAACTGACCAGTATGCACATCAGAACTGAATAGTGTGCAGATGCATGGCGGTACAACATCCACTATCGAGACCGAGTTTGGGTTTGAACACCCATTTGGCGGCGATGTCTCAGTGAGAAACTTTCGAGGAAGCACTTTGGACCTTACAAAGTACTCAAACGTTTGAGCGACGTAAACTACGAAGTGTTTACAGATGGAACCTCGCCATCATCCCAGCACAGGTTACCACTCCCAAAGACTGTACACGTCATCCGCCTAAAACCATACTTTACGCGGCGATGCGAATTTTTCCGTGTGCTGGTGAACTCTTCATGTGAACAATGAATGCAATTTATTTCTGATAGCCGGGCCCAGGACACGTTTGCTCTCGTGTGATAGTTTGTTTAATGTTCGTTTATGTTGCCTACTTCAACCCACTGCTATGCACACTTTTGTTTGAGCATCGGGTCGATGCTCTCTTGGGAGGAGGAGTAATGCCACCTGGTGTTCTGTGCCAGTGAACAGTGAGCCAGTTCTGTGCCAGAAAACGAAGAAAATGGAGACAAGCAAGCCGTGCCAGCGGAGACCTCCTTCTTCGTCTCTGAGCTTTTGACAGTCATGTCCCCTTTTGCATTTCTTCAAGCTCCTAGTGCGTGACATTATATACCTGCGTGTGCGTTTGGTTTGTGTTACTCTGTATTTTTGTGCTAGCTAGCGCTTAAGTGTGTGCACGTGTTTTTGTTGGTATGTATGCCGCAGCATGCACGTGTGTTTATGTATGTCTGAACTGTAATTATGAGATACCATACTATTAGTAAATTTTGTATGACCAGCCATCTTTTAGAGGTGAAGCTCCTTAAAGCGGCACCCGTTCGCCCCTCGTAGTAGCCGTAGACGTAGTGTGTAACCAGTCTTACGCTTTGACCTGCACGGTGGTGCTGGTGGGAGATTTCTCCTGTGGGTTGTTGAACAATAAAAAATTCGCAGCGTGTGCATTAACTAAAAGCCCAAGTCTTCTGTCTCTCAATCCCCAATAGCAGCCATTGGCATGTACATTGAGCACTATCTGACAAGAAAGGGTTGCTATGTCATACTCTCTGGGCGTAACCTCCTTGGTTTTAGAAAGATTTAGCGAGCATTGAGCCGCAGTGCCATGAATACAGTGAACTAGTATATACCTTATAGGTGGGTAAAGGTGGGAAGTAGATACGAAGCGCAAGCCGTGAGAAAGTAATAGCCAAATTCTCCTGTCTCTCATTCCCCATTATCAGCCATTGGCATGTAGATTGAGCACTAACTGACAAGAAAGGGTTCCTACGTTTTACTCGCTGGGCGTAACCCTTTCGGTTTTAGAAAGGTTTGGCGAGCATTGGGCTGCAGTACCACGAATACAGTGAACTAATATATACCATGAACTCAAGGTAGTTAAAGTGGAAAGTAGACACGAAGCACAAGCCGTAAAAAAGTGTGCATATGCCACGTCTGTTGTTTTGTGCTTGGAATGTCCGCTGGATGGCGGTGCTTCTATATGGGGGATATATGATGAAAAGATGCGAGATGGTGGTACTTGGAGTGTTCAATAGATCGACGAACGGACACAGACAGATGCATGGGCGGACGCACGGATGGCTGCACGGACGGATAGACGCATGGACGGATGGACGTGCGGATGCACAAACACACACGCACGGACGGGCGGATGGACGTTCGGATGGTCACACAGACGGACGCAAGGACGGATGGAAGCAAGAACAAATGGACGGACGGATGCTTCGCCATACTCTCCATGATTCACTCCGTGGATATGCTGCCATTCTTTTTTCATCTTTGAGGGGGTGAGTTATGTTGCAGAGGTAATTGAATACAATACACGTCATTCCGCCGAGATGGAGGGCATCACACACATTCTCCTTATGCGTTGGTGTTGGTATAAAAGGGCGATAGGTCCCCTTGTTTTATAAAATTTATCTAGTAATACTACAATCTTTGTTAGCTAGCTTCTTTGAGCTCTTCATGCTCGCAATAAATGAAACAAATATCAGTGTAAACTTTATGCACTCACACTCTAACGCCTAACATGTCTCTGCGTTACGGACAGCAGAAGTGTAGACAGGGTAAACCGCTCAGCCGCTATAGTCGGTACTCTTTTTTTTTCGAAAACGCTTCCGCATTTAGTTATTGAACCGCATAAAAATTATATCATCCACTACGTTGTACCTGAAGCCTCCTTTCATCCAAGTGGGGTTTTTCAATTGTCAAAACCTCGTTTACCGCGTCGAAGCAGCCGAATAGACAAAGCGTCCGCACTGGTTCAATTTGGCTACAGCGAACCAGTGGATGGTTAGCGTAATCTGCGCGCCACTCCTGCCAGGAAAGGGTAAAGATCCGCGCAGAATAAAGGAGGAAGGTGTCGCTACTTTCCAAATATCGGGGCTTTACGCTGAGGGCGTCCTTCGCGCCATGTCGCTGGAAAAGCTGGGAACACACTGATATTGCTACTGAGATCGGCAAAGTACCAGTGGTAGAAATTGTAAAAATATAGCTTGCCGTTACAGTGGCCAACGCCGTGTGCTGCGGAGCGAGCGGTCATATGTTCAGATACACACATCGGACAATACTCTCGAAATTATTTTCTTTCCTGGCTTTTGTATTTATGCGGACTTATGAACATACAGGGCATGATTGTGGAGACTTAAGACGTGAACTAACGGTGACGCGAACAGCGAAACTCAGCCTAGAGGTGCTATAGAGGTGCTATCGTAAGGAAATGCCTACAACATCAAGCCAAAACCTTAGATATAAAAAAACCTAGATGACAACAACATCTAAGCACCTTTACTGGCATTTCTGCTTTGGTGGTGGTGGAAGTGTCAGAGAAAGCAAAAAGAGCAAAGGCAGAGAGGTTAACCAGGCTAACGTCCGGTTGGCTGCTTTGCACTGTGGATAAGGGATTAGGAATTTTAAAATTTTGATACATAGACCACAAACAATTGAAATATAATTGACTAGTTGTGCATAAACTGTTAGCAACAAGATCATTTTGAAAGAAACGGAGGCGTATAGCGTTACCATATTCCTAGTCGGAAGCAACTCGCTTTTTCTATCAAATATTTTGTTTGAAGAGATTGTTTAGTTTGCTGATCATGCCGCACAGCTATGCCCACAGAGCATGCGTATTATCTCATTTTCAACACGTTCACACACATGTATCAGCTCTGTTGAATATGACATCGTCACGAAATTATCTCATGCACGGTGTACAAGCTAAACTTCACCAGACATCGAAACTATGCCGACGCAATTCATAATATTGCGACCAGATGCATGTTGTTATCTGAGCTCGTGATTCAGCATTTCATTTACGAAGCCAATCACAAGATGCAATTCATGCATCTTTAGCGTAACAGGACAGTGCAGTGACCTGCAACATTCATATCTGATTCACTTGTTTGAAAACAAGCGACTCATCTTTAGAGAATCAACTTTAGAAAACAGTGCACACTGCACATATGAGTAAACTGCAAATGAGTGCAAACATACAGTTTACTTGCATTAAGAACCAAAGTAGCAATATTTTAATGTTTGTGGCAGTAGGCTTAGAACTTTTTAATATTGCTTCCGTTCAACTAGTAACAGTAATTTTCTACTTTTATGATAGCGAGCCTCCTAACCTCATACTTAGCACTTGCACTTGCGAAATAGGCAGTGAATGCTGTGACAATCACATGTAACTACAATGTTAGTAAACAATACTACTTTCTCAAGAAATACTTAACGATCTGCCATACTATACTGCAATAAATGAAGTCTTTTTTATGAGGAAAGAATCGATAGGTGTAATAGATGGCAGTTCTTGCATAGCGCTTCTTCAAAGCGCACAGACGTGCTCGCACCGTGGCTGATATTGATGACGATGCCTGATTTTTCTGACTAAGGGAAATTGTTTCTCGTGTAGAAAAAGCCCGTGGTATCGAATATATCAATTTTTTATATAAATATCTCTCGTGAAAGCAATATGGGTTGGGTAACTTGTGATTTTCCTTGCAACATTACAGATCTCACACGCAGTTTCCCCATTAATTCGGTGCAATACGAACTCTATATGTTGTGAGTAGCTTGAAATAGCTGTTTTCCGGGGCTACTCAGCAACCATGAGGCAACGCCAGCAGCCGGAGGCACAAAGGTTTGACGTCAGTGTGACGTCATGAGACAAGCCATAAACCAAGCGTTAGCATTCTTTTGCTCTAAAGTAACTTATTAATTTATGACAACCTAGATAGTGATTACTGCGTCCTGTGTTGTATACCGTGCAACATCATAAGTGATATGCTTGGTTCTGCTTTGAAGAACGTTCAGGCGGCATTGGGTGTGCATTCTGGCTTTCTCGAATACCTTCGCTTGCTTAGTGCAGCGTCCCTGTTTTTTTCTTACTCATTATTAGGTTGTGTTTCACGCCGTGTTTTGAGTGGCTTTGTCCCCGCCATGCAAGTTGCGTGCATCGTCAAACTGTACAGTAGAGTTTATAAAAGAAGAATCAACGTCTTTTCAGTTTTTAAATCGAATTTGTACGATGCTACGAACATCGATAAGCGGTGGCTGGGAAAATGTTGCGGTGGCACTATGATTTTTTGACAACATAGGCTTTTTATTTTCTGAATTATTCTGACGTGCACTGTACAGTTGAGAAGAAAGTGAGCTAAGGATTGCAATTGTGCTTTTAAACTTTTGAATAAACCCGGGTGTCGACACAAGGCCGTGGTATTGTATAGAAAACATGACGAGAATTCTGAACATGGAAGTAGTTGCAAATTTTTGGAAAACTTTTGACGACTCCTTTAAGATGTCCAGTTCTACATCGTCTGTAGTTGTAATGATATAGGAAATATCAACAAGTCAGGTGGAAGAGTTCCTCAGAACGGCAACATGCGTTTGCTGTGATCTACCTTTACAGTGACTCCGGTCGCAGGAATTCCAACACTCGTACTGTTTCGACATTCGGCAGACTTCGTATGAGCCGTCACAGCACCGCAAGACTCCGTCATACCATATAGATTATAGAGTTGCTCAAGACCACTGAATGCTTCGTAGGCTGCTTCTGCTACGGATGCCGGAACCACGCTGCCGCCAGTAGCAATTCTGCGGAGAGTTGGTAACCTTCTCCCTGAGCGACGCATCTCACGCACCACAGCTTGAAGCTGTGTGGGAAATAGGAATGCCGTCGTCACCTGCAATTATAGCAAGGTAATCATGAATGCACAGAAAGGATATGCGGCAAGACAATACTGCTAGTTATTAACTTAATATAAGGACCACTACTTCGAATACTTGTACACCTAAAAAGCCAATTCAGAGCCAGTCTAACTGAAGATAATGCTACTGCCAAATGTCACCTTTTAAATGCAAGTGGTACAAGGCCACCAGAAAACCCACTATACGCACTTAACTTTGGAAGCGAAGGACGCTGAGTTGTCAATCAGCCTAAGTAGTGCATGTGCGGGAGCAACCCCCCCCCCCCCGTCTCTTCTTGTATTTCCCTGGCTGCACTAAACTCACTTGTGCGGCATTCACATGCTCACACTGTTCTCTTTCGGTGGGGCTTAATGCAACAGTTCTCCTACTCGTTGTCATCACTCTCTTATCAGTAGATGGCAGACAAGCACCGTTGGCCCGTGTGGAAGCTGCACAAACTAGTGCAGCACGATATACGCAGTGCATAACTGTGTCATCAACGATTCAATGCAGCGCTTATAGCGCTTTGCAATCACAGCTTCTGATATAAAACATCTGAATATGGCTTCAGAAACATCAGAGATAATTGCGGAATTCACTGAGATGAGTAGGGCCAGCGCCACCTAGGTGGCGATGGTAGGGCACCTTGATGCCAGCGTACGTTCGAATTCCGCATCGAGGTGCCGTAGTGCTGAGAATGCCAAAGCGTCATATGCCATTGTTCTTTGGTGTCATAATGCAGTACCTTTGCTCTTCGCTCGTATCAGACGAAACGAGCCCGCCTAACCAAGAGTGCTAATATATGGAAAAGGAATGTAAGATATATAAGGGCAGTCTAAAGAACTGTCCGAAAGTACGCTGGTGGCGTAGTTTGTTGGCAATACGATATCTATCATCATAGGGCGAGATGCCCTAGGGTTGACGCGAAAAATAACCCCCATTTCACCGTGAAACATCCGCTTTATACCGCGAGCGAAATTCTCCTGCCACCAAAATGCAGCGTCGTTCGCACTGGGCGCGCCGCGGACCACCGAGTATACCACGGGGTGAGCGCGGCATGCATGCGCTGTCACCCAGTTTTGTCGCGGCTCGCAAACACCGCTACGCGATCCGGTGGTCTAGCCTCGATGATTCTCGTACGCAGGAAGCAAGAAGAAGCAGTACTGCATACTGTGCTGGCAAATAGCTGTCTTGCAATGCATTAAGAGCAGAAAAAACTGCCGAAGCCAGCGGCGTTAGTGGGTTTGTTTTGCTTTGCAATACCCCGGCAAGCTCGGTCACGCTAACAAGCTAGGCCACCTCTTTTACGAAATAGTAACGTGAAGTAGGCACCGAGTGGATTAAACTCTCGTTGGTTACAACGTTACGTTACGTGTAGGGCTTGGTCGCCATTGTTCGAAATTCTTTGACATAGCGCTCTTGTGGGAACAGATTCGGCGACAGACGCCCCAAAAATCAGTTTGAGAGGGATCGGCGCGGAGAGGACCGTTTCGCCCAATCTTGCTATGCCCGAATCCGATTCTGTTCACTTTATGCGGCTGGAGTGCTCAGTGTGGCCGAGCAATAAATGCCAGGGTCTCAGTAGTAATCTAACCCCAGCATTCTGCGTGGCAATCAAGTATTTATCATAGAACCATGCCAGGTCTTGGAACTACTTTTACAGTGAAAGGTGTTATGAAATCCCAATAGAAGTCACGCGCACTGTTGTAGATGTCCACTGCCACCGACGCCGGTGTCCATAACCGGTATCGCGCGAAATAAGAAAAAAAACTCAAATGAAAGACACCAAATGCATTTGGCGATATAGTGAGTTTCCAACCCGGGTACACCGCGCGCCATCGCAATAATGTTCCGCTGAGCCACGCCGATACTTGGGACTTGTTTTAAATTTCGCCTTAGGCAGGCTTGATGTCGGGAAAAGAGTCGCGTTAATAAGAGGAATAAAGCATTTTAGAATGGGAAAGGAACAAACAGGGGTTACACAATGCGAATCGCGTAAGGCATTTATCCAACATATGACAAAATGTTGTTCTTAATCACCTATTGGGCTGTGGCACATACCCACTTCAGCTGTAATTCTTCATCGCTGTCAGCCACTGAATGCAACACAAACTTCGTTACAAGTGCTTAGCGGATATCACGCTTCTCCGAAAAATGACGAAGGGTAGCATAGTGAATGCCTGCTTACTATGCAAAAATTATGAATATTTATGGCGCAGTGCGTACCTAGCAAGTGCGCTTCTGACATTTACCCAAAAAGCGTTTAGAAAAGGCTTTGTAAGGCCGGTCTTCATACTTTTGCTGCGATTGGCTGCGCCCTCTGCACAGGCTTGGCATTTTTTAGGTTGACCCTTATGTCGTGAAACGTTAATTGTGGTTGCAGTGGAGTGACTCCACAAGAGATCGACATGAGTTGGGAAAGATGATATTTTAGGTTTGATTGTTTATTTTAGATTTTGTGCACATACCACCCAGAAGCCCGAAAGTGAACTTCACTTTTTTATTACCTGCATAGCTTAGGAACAAAAAATATTGAACTTGTTTTGTACAGAGGGGCCAGTTTCGTTTTTTGTCATTTTCGAAAGTTGTCCAAAGTTTAAAAACACAGATATTAGCATGATGAAGGCAATTTTTTTCACTAATTGTACGTGCAACGAAGAGTGAAGCAGTATTGTTTTAAGCTTGTAGGCCAAAGCACACTGTTTATGAAAAAATGTCTGAACAGGTGACATTTTCCAAAATTGTCTCGATTTCAGATTTTTTCTCTCTTAAGCTAAACAAACTAGTGTTTAATAACTTAGTGACCTATTATAAAATAATGTTTACAATATTTACTGTCAATACCGTTGCTGCACTTGAAACACATTATTTTGTAATTGGCCTCAAGCTTTCAAATTTGTTGACAATGAAGCGTAATAAAAATATTATGTAATAATACCCATCTTCGATTTTTCTTAAGATCTCTTAAACATTCCCCACTGTGATGAGTGAAGAAAACGACAACGACGGAAGTGCGGGGCAAGGCGCGTGTAATGTGCGCGTGAGTGTCAGCGCATCAGCTGATGACCTGTGGTGGCCCATAGAGGTGGCGTGCCACGATTGGGCCACGGGCGACCATCACGTGGCAGTGGGCTTTGTGGCTGGGGACGAGCCGAAGCAGCGGCAGACGGGAGACAGCGGGCCGAAGCGTCGGACGCAGGCGATCCAGGTTCCGGCCAGGGAACGCGGCCGTCCACGCTACTGCCGTCCAACTACGAGCTGGGGCGGCGTTGCCGGCACGAGTACAGCATCTCGGGGCGCGGCCTGGCCTGCTGTTCTCTTCCTTGCCGAGGGCATCGCGGATCTCGGCGAGGCGTCTCCACGGTCAGCCGTTCGACACAGTGATGAACGTGGCCTGGCTAATGGTCACGGTTGCATCGAGCATCGCGTCTCGGCGCACGCTCTTCGCTGGACGGGCTGGCCATGCCCCACATGGAGCATCGCGTCTCCGATGCGGGTTGACTGCTCCGTGGCCGCACCCATGCCATCAAGCGCCGGTGTCACCAGAGCGTTGCACTTTGGCAAGGGACGAGCGAGATGTTCTGCCGGGCGAGACGCGGGAGTGCGAACAGAGGAGCACGGAGCCGGGTGAGGTTCAGGGTGGCCGAGGATCCAGGTGCCAGGGGAGTTCTGGCTGAATCGAGGATCGCCGAGCGGTGCCGAGCCGTACCGAGCGACGCGCCAGACTAAGACGTGGGCCGCGAGCTCATGAGCTGCAGTGCGCACCCGAGGGTACCTGGCGGAGCCCTGGCCAAGAAGAAGGAACGTGCGGAAAAGAGAGCTCGAGGAATGAGGCCACGAAGGCAGAGGAAGCGGTGCGCCGCTCGAGAGGACGAGTTCCTGGCAGCGTTCCTGAGCCGGACGTGAGACCCGTACGTGTCGGCCAGGTCGAGCTCTCGTCTGTCTTTTCATGGTCCAAGGCCGAGACCTGCCGAACGGCTCCTGCCTGGGTGCAGTAGCCGGTAGCAGGTTCGTGGGCGAGGCCTACCGGGTGTGGTCCTCGTGAGCCGTGGCCTGACCCTGGACCTCCGGAGTTGCGACCCTGACTGCTGGGTTGGCAGCGACGTCCGACTCAACGGCGCTGCCACACGGTAGCGTATCCGTGCCATGAAATAAAAAGTTCATGTTAATCCTTTCTCGTCCGCTATCAACAAACATAGTGACGAACGTTCTTTAACCATCGCACCCACATATAATAGAAAAAAGAGTATTGAAAGCATATTGCAATATTTTGTTTACGGCGACAATATTACGGGTGAAAGGACCAGCTTCTCGAGCATGCATTAGGCAACAAACGCATAATAAATTGGGCTAAAAAAGTGGCCTTCAGCTACTGAGTCATTTTAACAGGACCATACATACAGAGAGAATCAGAATTGATAAAGGGGAATGACCTCTTTAGGTGTGACCTTCTGAAATACCTAAATCTGCCGTTTCAAGTCGAGGCTTGAGACACCCAATTTATTTGCACCTCAGTTGGTCACGTTGGTTACATGAGGCAGCTATTACAATCATCTGCTTTAACGTTTTGGTTGAGTATACTTAAATGGGAATAGGCTCGTGAGAGAAACCATCGAAGCATTACGAATATTGTGATTTAATAACGCTGCTGCCACATCTCTAACCTGAAAATGGTTTAGCGTTTCCTTCTCCAGTTCCGTGCTCAACAATTTCATGCGCACCCCCTCTTGTAGGCAATGTACAATATCATAAGGTTTCAACTATAGGAAACGGTAAGAAATCTGTAACTTTAACGGAACATGTCTTATTGAAGTCTAGAAAAGCACGAAACCTCACTCTCCCACCTAAGAGCGGCAAACTTTGGATTGATTACGCCGGCATCTAAAATGAAGGTGTAGAAGACCATATGGCTGAAGAATTTCAAAATGATCTGTGCAAATGGAGATTACCTAGAGACCATTAGATACATTAAGATTGTTTTCGGTGCATATTTTTT